ACATGTATATGTATGTGTGTGTATATAGAGGACGAGAATACCTGTATCAGGCACAGCAACAATCTCATCCCGTTCTCTTTTCAGTTCTCTAATATAATGTTCTGCCTCACTTTTTGCAGCAAGATACCTGTATTCATGCAATATAAATTCATTCACTCAATCAGTGGCGGACGTAGATATTTTGCGTTGGTGGACACAATCAAACTTACAAAAGATATAGATTTACGTTTATCTTGAACATCACCGAATTTATCATCCATTTTATTTCCAACATCATTTTCATTCTTTTATCTCAAATAATCCTCTCATTAACATTGTGATCATCAAAACAAAATGCATATTTATGTTTGAATTATGTTTCAATCACAATCAATGAAAACAATCAATTCAAGTATTAAAAAAAAAATCACATCAAATTCTAAATATTACATCATCAACTACATTCCAGTTCAAACGAAGAATAAAATCATAAAGAGAATCTATTACCATAAAATCGCCAAAACAAGATAGGAATTGGAGTAATTGAGCATATCCTCAATTCCATTTAAAAAAAAAAAAAAATCATCAAACAGAAATAATTTCCCAAATAATGAGGCTTCAAATCTGATTTCCGGACAAAAATGAGGCTTCAAAACTTAATTTCCGGAAAAAAAAAAAAAAAACTGAATTTTCAGTTGCTGGGTCACTTGACCCACCAGGACCCACTGTCAGTCTGCCAATGCCACTCATACTATATAAGGAAAAAAGAAGAAGAAGAATTTTCGAACTTTTTGCCATGTTTTGAACCATTTTTTGGGGCTAGTGTAAACAAATCCGAGAGTTTACCCTCCAAGTCCCATCGAGATGGCGCCGGCAGCCACCTCGGCTATGCCGGCTGTGAGAATGATGGCGGATGACGCATTGGCGCCGGACAGGCCGGCGGCTAGCGCAAAAGGTACAGTAAGTCCGTCTGAAACACCGATGATTATATCACGGACAATTTCTCCAGCAGTGAAATGCTTTTCTTTGTGTTGATTTAACAAAGAATTTTCTGTTTCTTGAGCCATTGATGTTTGCAGATCCTTTGAATGATTCTTGAAGAGAGAATTAGAGGGAGATGTACACCATGATACCCTTGATTTCTGTGTCACTTTCCTTTTCAGAGGATAGATAATTTTTCAATTTCTTAATATGCCTTTATTTAGAACATATTTGGTAGGGATTTTAATATAATTAACATCAATTATTTTATTGTTATATTCACTAGTTCAATCGCCGTTTTTAAATTCTTCTCTCACACGTAGGATCATTTTACTTTTAGCGATCAAAAAAATCAATTAATAAAATTCCTATCAAACAAGCACTTAATATGTTTTCATATCACTAAATATGAATTACTCTTATTTAAACTATTATTTAATATCGGTATATTAATCATTGTAAAAATAGAAACAGAAATATCTTTATGGTATGTATGGAGTATAATGAATAATTAAATATGATTAAGAATCTCACAAAATGAGTGAATAATACTTATTTCAACCCGTAAAGATAGAATTGTTTTCCCCCCCTCCTATTTCCAAATTACAGATCATTTTCTTTATTAAGTGTATAATTGATTTTTCAATTCCATAATATATCGCTATTTAATATACTTTTTTATCAACAAATATTAACTACTTATATTTAACAATTATTAATATATGCATATTAATCCGTGTGAACGTAGAAACAATATATCTTCATGGGACATATGGAGTATAATGAATGAATAATTGAATATGATTAATGGACGTCAAGAAATGTGTGGATTATATCATTTTCGTCCTATAAAGATAGACTTGTTTTTCATTTTCTTCTGTCCCAAATTATAAACCACTTTCTTTATTGAGAATATAGTTAATTTTTAAATTTCCTAATACGTTCATATTTAATGTTATTTGTTATCAGTTAATATGAACTACTTACATTTAAACAATTATTTAAAGTAAGCATATATTAAAAAAATGTATGAAAAATTTATATTTCAACTGTAATAATTATATTTTCTTAATCTGTGTGAAAATGAAAATAAGCCTATATTTACAAAATGAAGGGAATAAATTGGTAATAATTGTAAATGTGTGGTTATAATACTTGACTCTAACCTCACCTTAACAAAAAAAATAAAAATAAATAAATAAATAAATAAAATAACTTTAGTTTTTGATTTGTATTAATAGTAGAAAACCCGCCAAAAAGTTTCCATATGAAATGTATCCTTGCTATCTATTTGAAATCATAGAAAACCACCATTCATTTGAAACCTTTTGTGCAAAATATCCCTTACGTCAATATCAGTCATATTTGCCGTTAAAAAAGTAAAAAATGTCAAAAACAAAAACTGCAATTGCAGTACTAAAACTTCGCTTTTTATTTATTTATTATTTTTATTATTATTATTATTATTATTATTATTATTTTTTTTTTGCAAATTATACCTGAATTTTTTAGAAATAATTATAGTAAAAGTCCCAAACCTTTAAATCACATTAAATAATTACATCAAAAACTAAAAAAAATATATTAAATGACATGTTAACTAGATGTAAAAATAGATATATGTGCATTAATAAATAAATAAATAATTACTGGGACTTCTAGTGTTTTAGAATTACTTCATATAGATATATGTGAATTAAATCGCATGTTAAATAGAGGTGGAAATATATATTTCATTATATGTGTAGATGATTACTCAAGATATACGTATGTTTATTTGATGAAATATAAACATGGGGCCTTTGACGTGTATAAAACATATAAAAATGAAGTTGAAAATCACATAAGTAAGAAAATAAAACTTTAAGAAGTGATAAAACAGATGTATATTTTTCTAGTGATTTTAATTCATTTTGTGAACAATAGGGCATAATTCATCAATGTTCTGCACCTAAGACACTCGAACAAAATGGTTTGATTGGAAGAAAAAATAAAACTTTAGTTAAAATGATAAAAACCTAACATTGGATATTTTAAAGTGTGAGGATGTTTAGCTTATTGTAAGAACAAAAACCCTACTAGGACCACTTTGGGTCCAAAAATCATTAAATGTTGGTTATGCTAGTGAAGTCGAATTGAGAAGCCTTTAAAACAACTTCATTTGTTCTACAAGTGGAAACTTATCCTAAAACTTAAAAAAAGACTATGGCTTCTCGTGTGAACGCCTTTTGAAAAGATACAATTAAAGATGGAATGAATTCAATTATGTCAAACAGTAGATGAAAACTTGTTGATTTACCACCCGGATCCAAGCCTATTAGATGTAAATGGGTGTTTAAGAGAATATAATGTTGATGATTCTCTTAATACCTTTAAGGCTAGACTAGTAGCCAAATGCCATCAATAATAATGTAGATAAATGTTTGTACTTCAAATTATGTGATAATTATATTACATTATTTTCTTATATGTTAATGACATGGTGATTATGAGTAATCACATAAATGAAATAGAAGAAACAAAAAGGTTTCTATTTTTCACATTCAAGATGAAGGATATTTGACAAGTGTATACAATTTTTGGTATCAAAGTTATTAAAATTAGTGGAGTTAATATTTAAGTCAATCACATTATATAAATAATGTGATAAATAAGTTCAAACATTTAATAAACACAAAAAAAAAAAAAAAATTTAGTACCCCTTGATCCAAGTTTAAAGATTATAAAGAATGTTGAGATATCAGTTGCTCAATTGGAGTATGCAAGTGTTATCGAGAATCTTATATATGATGTTCAATGCACAAGATCAAACAAAACTTTAGTAATTACTAGTAATCCAAATAAGGATCATTGGAAGACCATTGGAAAAGTTCTTGGCTGTTTGAAAAAAACCAAGAATTTAGGCATACAATATACTAAATTCTCGAATGTATTAGAAGGAATTACCGATGCTAGTTGGATATCTAGCACGAGTAAAAGTAAATGTATAGCTGGCTAACAAGTCAAAAATAATGCCTAGGGTTAGATGTATGAACTAAGAGGATGAGGCCACGTGTATTCACATCCAAGGGCTACAATATCACTTGTATCACCATAAATACTTCCCCATGTAATACTTGTAAAACTAATGCAACTTTAAATACAAACCACCACCTTTCGCTCATATTCCTCTTGCAAGACAATTGTGTTTATATTACATTAATTCATTGCGATGGGTAATTATCGTACAATCATTCTACAAATGCATCGCTAGATTCTGAATGTTATTGTCTCGCGTTGAAAGGTCACTCTTACTCCCTATTTCCTAATCATTCCATACTGTCAATTTGTCTTAGTGTGTTTGACTCAACCTTCGTTTGTGCGAGTTGGTCCGATAGCTGTTGTCCACCTGGCCTTAACCAAAAGCGAGGTCAACAATGATGATATAATTGACATCTAATATGTGTCTATTTATATACAAATCTATGTAACATAGTTAAGATTAGACATGATTACTTGCTATGATGACTATAGAATTTCACACTGAGATCTATGTGCAGAATGTAATTTTAAGGGTACATGGTACAAGCTTTGAAATTAGATACACAGTGCATCTGGAACAAGAAAATCAACATCATCCATAAGAAATAATACTACAAGATCATTATCTTGATGGTAATAAGTATAACTAAATGAAGCCGTTTAGATTAAGGCATAAGAAAGTAATATTTAATACTTAAAATATGCATACAAAGAATAGATAAATAGAAATTACATGTAAATTTAAGTCGAACACATTCAAGCAGAAGGTCAAACCCATTGGAGAAAATAACAAACGAAATTGTAATGATAAAACAACCCTCAAAGCCTTGCTCTTGAACCTATTCATCAACGAGAATTGTTTGATTCTTGACTTGACAACATTGCCAAGAGAACATTTGGAGCCTTCTTTGCATTTTAATGTCATGTTCTTTTAAAAGAAACAATTATTCATTAGGTCAAGCATAAGAAAAATCAATCATATATGCTTCAACTATAATATAAGTTTAACGGCATCTTAAACCTCGAGGAAATCTTCATCAGTATCATTGTTAGATCAAACAACTATTTGAGGTTCCTTGCTGCCTCCAACAATAGCAATTTGAAGCAAAATACTCAATAACTAACTCTAAAGTAATTTCTTTTTACCCTCAAATGCTTTCCTTTCTAGATACAATAAATTTAGTTCAGAACAACGACCTGACTAAAAGGTTCTATCTGTAGGATTTATTGGACTTAGCTTTCCCATGATCAAATCCTTACAAGATTGCAGCACGAGCTGCCATAATCCACTCGCTAAGGAAGAGAAGTCTAAGATAGTTAGTCTTACAATAAACAAAGGGCAAGGAATCAAAGTTGGGTACACAAATTTAGACTTCAAAAGCTAAGTCTCAACAAAATTATAGTAAGGGTACTCTCTTAGAAAGAATAAATTTATAGATGCATTTTTCCCTTTATTAATTACCAAGAAAACAGAGACTTAAAAACTATTACCCATCATCTGAAATTATCTATTTTTTGCTAACAGTTGGTAAATGCAATTCGGAATATGTAAGTTACATATACTGTATTTCTATGTGTAAGTAAAAATATGATATATATATATATATATATATATATATATATATACGATCAAATACATATACGATAGACAGCATACACGATAAACTGCAAATATGGTAAGTTGCCTGCAAATACGGTAAGTTGCCTGCAAATACGGTAGCAAAGGTCATTTTTCTCCTTATGGAGCATGGTTCTCATGGCCAACTTGTTTGATAGTTATTGTTAGCAATTAATAACAAGCTAGACACTTTGTTGAACTACAAAATTTTTAAATTATTAGATATTTTGAAGTTTTCCTTGAAACTAAATTTACTATGGAGCGAAATCAATTATACATGCATAATGGGACACAAATCAAGAGCAAAAGAATTGTGTTGACAAATTTGATAAAAAACATTTCAAGAATTGGTAAAGAGGTAACCAAGCAAAAAATGAACACTAAAGCCCCAAGAAATAGGTAAATTGCACAAAGCATGAAATAGAAGATTAGAGAATGGTGATTGTCTGAACAAAACCGATTTACAACATAATGACAAAGGATTTTATATTTTTTAAATAACTTAGAAAACGCAAAAAATATTTTACCCAAAAATTGTTTTTTAGTGAGTCGAAGCTTAG